TCACGCTCAAATAATTTAACAATTAATTTTACTAAATTTCTTTACTCTTATCGAACAGATAGTCTTGCAGTGCGCTAAGGACAATTAGTTGGCGGTAATACAACATAAAGATATTTATTACGGGGTCTGGGACCGAGTTGGATATGCTAATCAGCGGTATTTTCAAGAAGCTGAGGACCTTCGTTGGGGTTCCTGATGTTTTGAACAAATTTTCGAAGACAGGGAATGTTTTCTTCCTCAGATGTAGTGTATGATGTCGGCATCAGTTGAAATTATATTTTATTGTGACTGAATGATAATTTCCGTTTGAAAAAAAATGGGGCCAAAATTGAAAGAAACGACGGTAAACATCTTCGAGCTAAGACTTGACCGGTCGATTGAAGAGTATACACGTGAGAACAGTGAGTCTGTAAAACAATACGCCAGAATCGGGCTTCTCCTATATCTTCTCTTGAAGTTGCCAGGTATGACTGCTTGCTCCACCATTTTCCCCTGACGTCTCAACCTCCACTGATAAGCGTAGAAAATTAGAATAAAAGTCATTTTCAACTCACGTTTAAACCTGCTATTTATTATTATTTTTTTACTTTTTCTCTTTTGGCTATTATCGTTTCATGAGTGTCCTCTGGCTGAAAATACACGGCATCTTTTTGGGATTTTTTCTGTTATTTAATTCGGTAGCCTCTGCTGTAACTGCATATAAATGTAAGTGTCTTTAAGCCAGCTGTCCATGTTCTTAGCAACTCTGTCTACTGAATTACGAAATTTGTCTAACATGTTTCTTGCGTTACGTAAGTTTAAGGAGGATCCTTGGGGTTTTTGGGCCGCGTAAGATCTGGGTGCGAACAAAGCGCGAGCTTTAAAAGTGTCAACATGGCTGTCGACATGAAAAACAAATATGGCGGCTCGATACGATCGCACGATTGTTATCTGAAATGGTGTATTAAAAACAGTTCAACTCAATACAGTTTTTATGTGATGGAAACTGGGGTTTCCCGAAACTGCTTTCGTAATATTCATAGGCCTTCCACCCTTGAAAAAGAGGTAAACCGAAAAGGAAACACCGTGGGAAAGATTGACCGAAGGCGAAAGATTCGAAAGTTTACGCATGCTCAGATATAGATCTTGGCGAAGTTCTATTCCATCACGCAATGCTTTGGAACAAAGAAGATAGGGATCTTTCGAACAAGATTTATCGCGTTTCTGTCAGTGGAATTTCCTAAGATTTGCTGGACCGTTAAACATATATGTGCCCTTCGTAGTGCCTGTTGATTAAAAAAATTCATAACACTAAATTTGAGATAGAGGAAGAAAACACAATATTGCAAATAGCGAGGAAATTGCCGTTGTGCCTCCGATTTCTTTCGGTACTTAAATGATCAGCGAGACAAATTTCACAAATTGTGAGAATTTTGAGAGATTTCACGGAAGCAAATTGAGGAAAACCAAAGACAAAGCCAAATTATCGCTAGCGAGCGCCTCCCTTCGTGGAGCCTTGGCTTAAAAACGAAAATTAGTTTAATAATAGTTATTACAGCATACGATAGTCCGAACCTTGGTCATTGCCTCCTAGTGACCTTGAAAAGGAGCGCGCGAACAAGTAGAATGACAAATCTGAAGTAGGCTTAAAACAGAATACAAGACTCCTTAACAAAAAGAAAACATTGAGTAAAAACGCCATAATTAGAATATCATAATTAAAACTTAATGACAAAGAGAGACTTACGATTCTACCATGAAGATATATATAGAAATCTAGAGATAATACCTGCATTTAATTTTTACATTACAGAAATCAATTCCAAACATCAATCAAGTGTTCTCTTAAGTTTAAAAGTTGAGTTGATGTTGAGTTGGAATGGGCTCGCTCTATTAAAGAGGTTGAAAAGTTTTAGATGATATTCCCTCATTTTTGCAAATAAATGAATTTATTGGAAAGTGGAGTTGTTGTAACATGTTAACATGAAACGCAACAATAAATGTTACTGATACGTAAAAACGATTCATTGACCATCAACTGGCAAGTCTGCAAAATATCTCAACCCAAACATTTTCCACAACTTGTCAACACCATTACAAAATGATTAGTCAGGGAAATGGAAAATTTGTGGCATATACGCCAAGCCTGAGATGCCAAGAAATATTCAAAAGAATGTAAAATTTGGTTGAAAAATTAGAATTCAACGTTGGCCGGATAAACAAGATTCTTAGCAAAAGAAATGTGAACTAATGAAAAAGCTGAGAAAACTTTTTACAATACCCACCTGTGCCTGTACGGCACATATTCGAAGTATTCACAATCCTGGGTTTACTGTTGAAAACACACACACATGCAGATTTCCTATGACATGTAGTTCCAGTGTGCCATGACTTCAAAACTTTGATGCACACCTCAAAAAGAGGACAAATAAATTTTACGTTTCTATTTATTCAGTTCAGAGTCAGGTAAAATTGAGTCAAACTTTCATGTTACAACAGGATCAAGAGAGGAGGATCCCTGCTTTTCCAGATTCCCAACCTTTATAACTCACATATCTTGTGACTAATTCTTTATATCGATGTTTAGTTTGGGTATGCGCATTTGTAAGAAACACCATGCACTATTGAAAGCTTGAGCAAGAGTATTTCATTTGGTGACTAACTCAACAATATTATATAATCATACAATTCCAAGGAAGTCAGGTTATAGACTCACCTGCTTCAACTTTTGAGGGCTTACGTTACAGAGAAAGAGATATGTTAAACAGTTAGATTAATACAATCGATGCAGATAATAATATTGCCTTTAATTTGAAGAAACAAGAAATACTATGCTGTACATCTCTTGGTAGCAAATTACTGCTTCTTAAGTTAATCACAGATAATAGTAAGGATAACACTGGGTTTTTAATGTGGATTTCAAATTATTGCTTCAGCTGTATTTCCCAGCACAATAATATGAAAACAAAAGCAAAATTTTTAAGTACTATATTATAAGATTCAGTCCTAATGGCACACTTGACATATTTGAAAAAATGAATGACATAGATTTTCTTATTCAGTCATTAGTAGATATTGTAAAAAACAATTCCAGAGTAAAGATGTAGAATATTTTATTAAATTTATATGTTGTTCAACTAACTTGTCAAATGCTGGAAGACAAAAGGTAATGGTAAAACACAAGTCTCATAGTCAGAAAGAACTACATGCAAAAAGGAAAAAAGAAAGCTAAGCACAAATGGAACCTGCCATAAAAAAAAAACAAGTTTTGTCTAATAAAGCAATATGGTATAAGTCACTGGATCCTGCGAAAAAAGAAAAGCTTTTATCTCACAGAGCTGAATGGTATAAATCACTGGATCCCGAAGAAAAGGAAAAGCGTTTGTCCAAATCAGCAGATTGGTATAAATCACTTGGTTCTGCAGAAAAACAAAATCTTTTGTCCAACAGAGCAATTCAGTATAAATCACTGGATACTGCACAAAAACAAAAGAGAGCAGAATGGTTTAACTTGCTCAATTCTGCACAAAAACAAAAAAGAGTAAAATGGTATAAATCATTGAATCCTGAAAAAAAGGAAAACTTTTGTCTGACAGAGCAGAATGGTATAAAACACTGGATCCTGCAGACAAAGATAAGATTACATCACAAGTCCAAGTTAATAAGGAAGCCCATAGAAACTCAGTTCAACATGATTTAGATCATAGGATCCTAGCTTTTCAAAGTAAGATTAGGGAAGGTCCATATTATATTTGCTCTGTTTGTAACAGAATACTATACAGAAAAACTTTCATCCAGTTTAAAAAACAAATGTATAAGACTCAGCAAGAACTATTTACTGAGTTGTATACCCATGATTCCTTTCCGTCTTGGAATGACCTATCGCTTATCGCCTGATGACAACCTTTTTTGAAATAGGTGTATGCCCTTGGCCAGACTCGAGCTCACTATTTCAGTATACTAGTCCGACACCCGTAATAACACTACACTTGATCCCAAGGATCCAGTACCATCCAGGTATCCCAGTTACCCTGCTCACTGGGTCTAGTTTAATTCTCAAATGTTTGACGGGTTCTCACATGACCACATTCTCAAAATCAAATTACCGCGTCAGACTTAATGTAAACATGAACATAACTGACTCCATCTCATTTTATTTCAATTTTCGGAAAGGCCATTACGTCATTCTTGAGGTAAACCCACACATCTTCGCTTTGAAATGTTATTTGACCGATGAACCTGCGTGAAGGTTTTAAAGCAATGAATGCCAAAGTTTTTACCGAAACGTGATTTAAATTATAATGTGAAGCTTGTCAATTTTCTGGGCCTTAACGTAATAGAAAACCCGGCCCAACTAACCTCCTCTCTTTCTCAATTCCTTTGAAGTTCGCTTTCTCTTTGTTGATGACCTTTTTCAGTCTGTTATCTGGAGCTCTTTGTATTTCCTTCTCTAGATATTCGCCTTTTTATTTAAGCCTTTTCCCGATCTCTTTCACGCTCCTCTTGCCGTATTCTGCCTATTTTAGCGTCCTTTCTAACTCTCTTTCGCGTTCATCTCGACTCGTTTTACGCCTTTCACTCCTTGCTTTCATCAGTCACTCTGTCTCTTTCTTTCACTCAAAACCATTTCTACACGAACTTGTTTCCTCGGGTTGACAAAGCGTCAGAGTAATAAATCTTTCCTGGTTTTTTCTATGCCTTTGCTTTAGCAAATCCCTGCTGATCAAAACGCGGATTGCAAATTAAATGGCTAAAATAGCGCCCGCACTGCAGTTGGCCGCGCAGTAGCACGTTGTACGGTCGGTCGCACGGTCGTAAGTCCAAATTTTTTCGGCTTTATGGATTACTACTATGTTCTATAAGTTATGGGCTACGCTTTGCGCGCTGCGAGCTCCGCTACTAGTTCATTTATTTATTCATGTATTCCAAATTTTAAGAGGAAATTTGACATAATCAACTAAGTGGCTAGGAAACTGAGTACACCGTTTTTCCCCCTTTATAGGTTATTTTTCTAGAACTTCATGGCAACAACGAAGAAACCTCGACTTTATAAGAATTGTCCGGCAGAATACAACCGAGACGTACAAAACCCATGTCGTTTAGGCCGAGAACAGAAACCTCATTATCATTGCGATATTTGTAAAACATATACTGCTTTGAAGGTTAGTTTATCTTGATTAAATCAGGCAACCATTTCATTTGTAAAATGATGATAAGTAAGAACACGTGGAAATAAGGGGATTCATTTTCTCTCGGTAAGGGTTATGAGTCTTATGAGAAGTATGATGTTTTTTGGTTCGACTATGGGGTCACAATGAATGACGTTGGAAGGCCACAAATTTATCAGGGTTCCCTTCCTTTCCACAATTTTACGGCAGGCAAAGAGCATTACCAGACACGTAGAATTAAATCATGAAGAGACGCATGCCTTGCCGACCTCATCGATGACCGCTAAAAGGGAACAAATCAACGTCAGCCAGGTGTGTGTTGATTGTCAAGATTTAACAAAGTAAAGCAGAGGAGGATCAAGTCAATTATCATGGCCTATACATTCAAAATATAAATGATTTTAACTGTAGTTGACCTGTGACTGAGTTAAATTATCCACGGTTGTCTCATACAAAGGTCGATGTACAACTCATTTCATAAGTATTGTGGAGTGCACAAGGCAAATCTTTAAACATAAAAGTTTAAGCGCAAATACCCTATTGGAAATATCATCAATAACAAAAACTAAGTAAGGAGTCAAAGTGTTCTTAGGATCTAATTTAAAATCTAAACAGCCAACTTTCGTTCAAAAGCCGATTACCAGTAAGCTTGATTTTGAAGTGTGCCATATACAACTACTCTATTTGCCTCATGTGTTTGTATCACAGCAGGTTACTGAAGATGCAGAAAGCAGAACTTTTGAGGAGACCATTTCGACGGCAATTTTAAGTCAGCCTGGAAAGCCCAAAAATGATGAAATTGAGGAAAACAATAATTGTAAGTGCAAATAGCAAATTTCAATCGTATTGCATCACACCCATAACATCACACAGATACAAAAAGGCAAGTATAAAATTTTTCCGTTACAAACGTTGGAAAATATGAAATACGAGCATCTAAAGCTTTAAACGTCCTTGATGGGACTACATGCAATTGGCCATTTCAAAGTTTTCTTATGTTAGAGATCTGGGCTGGGGTTGTTCAGAGGGCGGAGAATTCTACCCAACTAACAGATAAATCGCTGTCCAGCGGATAAGTATTAACAGAACATACTGTGCTATCCACTGGATAAGTATCTCTCCAGTGGATAGCGTTAGCCACCTTTTGAACAACCTGGGTCAGGTGTGGAAATTACGGCGCGAGAACAAGGCTGAGTGCAAAGTCGCTCCCAAGGCTCGAAGATATAATCTCTCGGTGAAAATATTCTGGTCATTCTAACGAATATTTTGTGTTATTTACAGAACAGTTTACTATTCGGTTGCTTGCGGCGCCAGTAGATGCGTCTTGTTGTTCATGTCTAATTCCATAGGGTACATGGAGTTGATGATGTAAAATCAAAACCTAGCCATGTCATATTACTAATGTTCTTGAATTTAATATCTTATCGTGCCATTATGTCTAAGCTTAGTTATGTACCATGATATCTTTCTAGTAATGTGTGAAGCAAATTTTGGTAAGTTACAGTGGGTGCACGCTCATTGAACAACTGTTTTGTGATTTTGATGATGAACTGAGTCAAATCGACTCTTCCAATATATTTAGACGTGAACCACAAAAACTGTTGCTGGTACACAAGGTCGAGGCTTCGGTTTTGGAAACCGATAAACTTCTTGGAGATAGCAACTCGTCTTCTTGTCATTCAATTTCTGAATTCAAAACAAAAATATTTCGAAAAGGAACGTTAACAGGAAAGCATGATCAAGGGCATTTACTACTAGCTTCCTCATCTGTATCCGGATCATTACATCTCGCTCATTTCACGTCCTATGCACGGCAATTGCCGATTCGAGGTGGTGTGTTATTCAGAAGTAAGTTTCGCAACGCCTATTCTTTACCTTTAGTGCGATGTCACAAACAATTACCGGGAGACACCGTTAATGTCGTTAACAACGGAAGAGTCGAATGGTATGTTCCTGATAACCATGATGAACCACGAGGTTTGTTTGACATTGTTATCGTCCGATTTTATTAATTTAATTCTTACTAGCCTTTAGCTGATTGTTTATCATGAGTTAAAGGATTATTTACCTTAAAGGACAGAGTAAAAAAAGTCTTTTTCAGGATGGTATCTCCCTCTTTTGCGGCGACATGAACTTATCGTCGCGAAACAAAGTCAAATCGCTGCCTAAACGTTGAACGACCTACTAATTTCAAGGGAAAAAACATTACCCTGTAGAAGTGAGAAAACCTTGGCAGAGTAAACAGATACTTAGAACGCTGACTTAAACAGTGTAACAAAACATTCAAAATGAGCAACAAGGTACTTGGAAAACAACCAATCTTCGAGGACTAAGACCTAAACTAAACTTCCCGTTGGGGACTCTTAGCAAGGTCTAGGAAAAATAATCTAACAGGCCTAAACAATCCCCAAAATCTTAACCAGAACATAGTTCATAACAAAGATTGCATGCAATCAAAGGAAACTTGGGTTATTCAGAACTAGAACGACCGCTATCATTATAGCATGCTGTTCTTCATTCTTAGTACAATGTCAAGAACAGTTATCAGATGACACCGATAACGTCGTCGCTAACAGAGATGACGGCTATGGATCTCGAGGTTTGTTTTACTTTATTGCTACCTGGTCTTTGAAATTTCATTACAGTAGCTCTTGATTGATTCTCTATTGTTATCTAGACGTTGGCTTACTTTTTAGGAAAGAGGGAGAAAGTGATAGTTCTTGCAAAACTTTAACACTTTCGAGAAACTATTTGACACAGACTTGAAACGCTATAAGGTAGTTCTACATGATTTATTCTGTTTACGTGGAATAGCGATGTGAAACAGTGAACGGGAATCGAAAGGAATCCAAGCATAAATAGTTTGTATAAAACTATGTAATTTCAATACAAAGAGAGTAAGATATAGCACAATGAACCATTTAAAGTTTACCCGGTTCACTCAATTTTTAAATACTTCATCATATTTTTCAGAGAAATGTCTTTGTGTTACTGAACCGAATGAAATGGTAAGTTCGAACTTTGATTAACTTAAAGTAACATCAGAGTCAGGATGATAGGTTGAGACCTGTTTGGGTTTTCAGCTTTTCTTTTCGTATCTGTTTAAATGAGAAGATCCATTCGTTGCGGTTATTAATTATCTTCTATTTATTACATTTTTTCTCGTTATCATAGGATTACCGACAAGGGTATTATTTCATTCTTGACCTTCTGTTGCTGGAACTACTGGACGCCTCTAAAAATCAGACAATGACGCTGAGTTGCATGAAAAGAGAAGTGCGACAACGGACTGGTAGAGACTTTAGTGCTTTGCACGATATTGTTGTGAAAACTGAGTCAGGTTTACAGAGTGTGGAGGACTTCATAAACAACGATTCCCACCTCTTGGAAATGGTCAATTCGAAGGCCGAGATAAAGGCAAAGTATGAAATGAAACTTGGCAATCCATCGAATCAATGGGAGACGAAGATCGATCTTTCAAACGCACGCTGTCGTTCTTGTTGGGATTACGTAGAGAAGTGTAGGCAGGTGCCAAATGCTACCACGGCCATAATTGGAGAAAGTACCTTTGACGACGAAGCAGCAGTGGAGAAGTGGCCATTCGGAGTGCTTAATATTCTCTGTTGGTTTTGTCCAAGAATTCGCCAGATAAACACTACCGGTTGTAAAAACTGTGGTGACTTTTCAAGAATCAGTGATTGTCTGGATCCTTCATTTCTTATCCATTGCAAAGAGGCTGACATACAAATTCGAAATATCATATCAAAGGATTCGACATCAACCTTAGTAATTCGTGAGGGTTGGTCTCTTCTTCACAGCGCTGTGTTTCTCGGGGACCTTAACCTGGCAAAGGAGCTTCTCGCCCAAAGAAGTTGGGATGAGAAAGATATTTTTAAAACTTCGGTAGAGTTGGCCATTGTTCTGCACAACTGCGAGGTTTTGAAATTGTTCAAACAAGAAAAAAACATTCGTAGTTTCGTGAACCCGTTAAGACTAGTTGAACTGAGTCTACTATCGTCCTCCCAGTCTACTGACGTCCACCCTGTAGAAGCGATAATCATCAACGAAGACTTCTTGCAAGCCGCAAGGGATGTGCACAACTCTCAACATCATTGCAGTTTTATTGAACTAATTCGTACGTTCTACGGAAAGGACGACACGGATTCACAACTAAAACTTGAACTTCTAGAGGGAATATTACGAACGATACAAGCCAATGTAAGATCCAATCGTCCTCCACTGTTTTCATGCTGGAACGAAATGGCAATTCATGACACTGTGGCAGAATTAATGAAAGAAACTGGAAGCTCATCCAGCAGCAAAGTGAAAGGCTCTCCGTACCTGATGTTCGCTATACCCAACATCCCGCTGACTATCTTTCTTATCAATAAAGGTGCCTGCATCGATCAGACGGATGATTCGGGTTGTACCACTCTTTCTCAAGCTGTAAGCGAGTGGCTTATTCGTCCTTCCGTTCAAAAAGGACTATTCGTTAAATTTTTACTTTCGAGAGGAGCTAGTCCCAATTTTAAAAATAACTGTGGAGAAAGTCCACTTGCAAAGAGTTTGTCGACATTTCAGGCCATGAGGGATAAGAATCATTTGCTAGAAATTTGGCGTTGTCTCTTGAATTACGGAGCTAGGGCCAAAACCAAAGACGACTCTGATAGATCTCCCCTCCATATCCTTGTAAACCTATCTTGCAAGCTGTCACATACAACTGTATGCGAAGGCATTGAACTCTTTCACAAACATGGATGCGCAATTAACTGTAGAGATGCTGACGGGAACACTCCATTGCATCTGTGGGCGAGGTTAGCGTTTGAGAACAAAAACTTCAAGGAAGTTGGAGATAAAATAGTTGACTGCGGAGGAGCCGTCGATGCAAGAAATGACAGCGGAGAGACACCACTGCATCTCGCACAGTTCTGGGAACGGGTAGAGTTGTTACTAAAACATGGAGCACAGCCGAACGCGCAAGATCTTAGCGGAGAAACTTCTCTACACAAGTTCGTTAACAAAGAGACTTTAATAACGGATAAGGTAAAGGTGGGTCGATGGAAGAAGTGCTTTACCTCTGGAATGGATCCGTGGAAGAAAAATGATAGTGGAGTATGCCCATTTCAAGTTCTCTTAGAAAAGGGCTTTCTGAAAAGCTCGAAAAGACTATTAAAAGTAATTTTCGAACACTCTGGCGATGAAGAAGCGATTGAATCTGCACGATGTTTTAAAGATTCCGAAGGTAACTCCCTACTGCACTTGGCGTGTATCACTCAAGCTGAGGCCATTTGTGAGTATATGCTTCAAAATGGGTTTAGCGTGAACGAACAAAACCATCGTTTGCAGACACCGTTGTGTTTGGTATGCAGCAGGGTGGGAGGATTGCCACCGAAAAACATCCAAAACTCCATCCTTTTACTACGGAAATACCACGCTGATCCCAAAATACCAGATGCTGATGGAAACACGTGTCAGGCGTTGCTCAATGGACATGAGGACCTAGAGAGGTTACTGCGAATAGATATTGAGAAAGAGCCAATTTTACCCATTATGAAGTGGCGCAAGGAGTCCGAAAAGCACAAGGATGCACTCTGTGACATTTCTTGTGGCCAAAAATGTCAAAGAGTTGAAAGCTATCATCACCACAAACACTATATTGGCAAAGGCTCCTTTTCGTTAGTCTTTCCTGCTCTGGATGAAAGAGATGGGAGAGAATTAGCCTTAAAGCGACTAGAAAAAGCCAGGTTAGAAGATGCGAACTTCAGAAGGGAGATTGAATGTCTCATGAAACTTAAGGATTGTCCAGCTGTGGTAAACTACATTTGCAGCTTTAGCAGCTCCGACTTCCAATACATTGTTGTTGAACTAATGGAAGGAACGTTGGATGAATATCTCTGCACGGAGCATGAGGGAGGAAATGCGGTTTGGATCTGTTTTGACATATACTCTGGTGTAGAGTATCTACACAAAAATGAAGTTATCCACAGAGATTTAAAACCGCAGAACATCTTGTACAAAACTACGCCGTCACTAACGATGAAAATCGCAGATTTTGGGCTTAGCAAAATTCTTAAGAAGACGCAATCTTTTGGTTCAAGTGACACAGTAATGCACTCAAGGGTTGGAACAAAGTGTTGGAAAGCTCCGGAACTCTTTGCAAATGACAGTCAAAGCAAGTATAGCAAGGAGTCTGATATTTTCAGTTGTGGTTTGCTCTTCCACTACAGCTTAGCCAAAGGAAAGCATCCCTTTCATGACCTGAAAGAGTCTCCACAGATAGGTTCCCCGAATACAACTGAGAACATAAAAGATAACATCATTGAAAACAAGAGATTCTTTTGTCCCTCTCTTTCGGCAGAGGCTGTCCATATTCTGACAAGAATGTTGTCACTCAAACCTGACGAAAGGCCAATAGCTTCCTCCCTAAAGATTTTCCCCTTATTTTGGGATAATGCAAAGAAGATGGATTTTCTTAAGAAAGTGGGAAACGAGGATGAGTTCACAAAGCCCAGATCTACTCTCACTCGCCCGTTGACCGATGTAGAGAGACAATTAGAGAAACAAATGAAAAACGCTCTTCCGTGGACGTCAAACAGTTCAATCAACGATATATTTTCGGAGTTCACAAGTGATCCTAGATATAGAGATCAGTACGAACCAAATTCGGCTGTAGAACTTGTTCGGTTAATAAGAAATGTGCACGAACACCCCGCAAATCTTTCAAGAAAAGCCAAATCTTTACTGGATAAGCATGTATTTCTGGAGCAATTTCCTCATTTGGTTACGGACGTTTTCAACTCAGCTCAACAGTGGAAAGAAAGAACAAACCTGAAATCATTTTATGAGTAGGTTACTCTAGTACATACTGATTGAAACTTTACCCTCACCATGATATATTTTGCTTCAGTAAGTCGGACACGCACACCACGGTCTTTCTTTGGCTTTGGATACTGATTGTGCTATTTGATACCTTCACTTGCTGTTTTATTGCCGATACCCCACATACAAATACAACCTAGACTACATATCAACGCAAAGCTTCGCGTCGAAGAGCACACCAAAATTAGACATCATTCTACGACAGCTTATGAAGGTCATCATGGTTGTCTGGCCAAGGAAAAAGGAAAACATAATTTCATCTTATGTCACTCACCCTCGATATACACCATGAGTAGAGTGTCTACTATGGTGTTGTTTCTAGGGAAGAGAGAATGGTAGTTCCAAGATCGTTATGTCGAGCCCTACGACATCGCCTTCATTATGTGCCCAGAGCATTGTTACCAGACTCTTTCCCGGGCAAAAATGCGTTTCCTGGCTGAGAAGGAACAGTAAACTTCAACAGTTCATTGAAAGTTATGATATTAGCTGGGCATTTTATTAAAACATCTCAAAGAGAACTTTGTTCACCATGAATAGCCAGACCAACTCTTCAGCGAAAGTTGGAATTGACATGTTCAGTTACAGGATTCATAACTATCTTATATGTGTAGTATATACTCCTTCTTCAGGAGATCAATTCCCTAAGGAACACAAGGTTTAGAAGTTAAAGGCTAGACTACAAGGCAAAGAATACCAGAAAGGGACAGAGGCTTGCGCGTCGTCTCAAGTTCATTTAAGTCGCTTGTGGAAATTTGCACGTGGGACTTTCTCTTCAACTTGTCTTTAAGGTGCACGTGGTGAAAGGAAAAAGCAGCTTTCAAATCAACCAAAACCGTCATAGGAATTTCGAAAAAACTGGAAAGGTCGAAACAAACTATTGAGTGCAGGAATGTTTGTTCAAGAAATGGATACTGACACAGTGCTGCGTCTCACTTAAATAAGGAAATCAACACAGCTGCCAACATACACTTTGCTCTTAGGACCTGTTGCTGACTACAATGCCTTTCAGAAGCTTCCTGCCAACAGTGACCGATATACGAACCGTTACAAACAAGGAAAGTAAGGATCTGGAAGCGCTTAAGAGTGGAGATACAGCGCGTTTGGTTTCTCCAAGAGGTTCGGCTTAAGAAACCGTAAAGGACAGAAAAGCCAGTCAGTAGGTGACACTACTAGCTGTTATCGGCGATGGAACCGAGTATCACCGGAATTGCCGACACCTGAGAAGACAAGGCAAGCTTACAGCAGGGGAAGCGTTGCATTTAGTAAAGAATTGGAAGTTCGCAAGCTTAAAGGCTTTGAAGCTCCAGCAAGAAATTCCTATGCCCTCTTCAATATTTCGCAGAGGCACAGAGCGACCTTATGACGCAATTGGGGCAGCCTGAGTAATGTAATCAACTATCTGCATCGTCGAAGCAAATCAAGACAATACGTTCAGGGCGAGGTGTCGAGGGGCCGGGATATCTGGCAAATTATATCACCCGAAACTACCGGACTTACATCTTCAGTATGAACGTTTTAAACCTAGGCCAAATTTTTCAAGCTTCAAGTCGATATATATTTCTTAGTTTTTGGCTCGCCTTTCATTTCTTGTTTCCTTTTCAATGGGCATAGCTCAGCCTTGTTACAATGTACTGCGCAACAGATTACGCGTGCTTGAACAATAAAAGGATTGTTGATTGATGTTAAGATGGCTTGTGCAGCGTTTCTTGAACTATACCGGGCACGTGGCTGATGAAACTCAGAAAAGCAGTTGAGGGGCTTGACCTTATCGCTTTGAAAGAAGTGACGAGGTGTATCACTTCAGGATTACTCTGTAAACTGCGGTGATCTTCTAGAAGCTCAAAAGGGAAAGGTAAAACTCACAGGTTATCCTGTTACCAAAGATAAATTGATTCGAAAGAGGAAAGTACTAAAACACACCATCTGAAAAAAGATGAATTCCGGCGTTTTGGTGGGGCATTTAACACTGTCTTGGCCGGGGGGTGGGGGGGGGTGGGGGTGGGGAGAAGGGTTGGGAACTTGAACGAATCAATCTTCAAAAGTTCAGAAGCCAGGGGGAAGTTGCCCTAATTGATCGACACATAAGGAAACCTGACTATCTTCCACGACCTTTTCTTAAATTTAGCTAAAGATGAACTGACTTATGTCTCCAAGAGTATTCGGATTGCCCCTTAAATGACTGCATACGTTGAACATTGAACACGGTGAACTGTTCTCATACAGTACAACAATCATTCTTTATTTAGACGCAAGAGGCAAGTTGACAAGAAGACACTAACATTTAATGGAAATAATCATAATCTACCAAAAAGGCGAACTTCTTACACCGAGCCAGGAGCAAAACCGACTTTAAACTTTCAAAATTTCAGAAGTTCTGGAAGAAAAAAAACCGAACAGGAATGCATACACTCTAAGTCGCTGACTTCATAACAATGAGTTGACAGCTGATTTCTACTAAAGATTTCTTGGAGGAAGAGACCACAAGACAACCCTCATTAAGAGTTAGTTGAATCTGAACAGCTAATAAGCGGAAAAACGAAATAGCGTTTAGAATAAAACGAATTCGTCACCCTACGAGAACTGCGTTTTCTCGCTTCTAGTTTTCGCGCAGCGTCCTTTCATTTTGCTCGCTCGATGGAAGAGCGCAAAGAGGCACACTTGGTGTGAAGCAAAATTAGCTACTTTTAATTTACCACAAGGGTTATTCAAGCAACGTTGCTACTCACCATCGGCATCCATTTTTACAAGCACTTCAACCAAACAAATATTTCACGTTGAAAAGAAAAAATAGTTAGTTCAAACAAAGATTTGTTGTAATCATTTTCATCGTCTCCAAACAATCGATTTAGTCAGTGCTATGCACCTGTGGGTAGCACATCTACTTCTTTACCGCACTTTCCTTGCGCCGTCTTCGCGTTCCCACCCAAAGATTTCTACCTTTCCAGCTGTTAGGATTCCTAAAACTAATAAATTGGCAAGAACTTTTCAAGCTTGTTCTAGACTGTAAGTCAGTGGAGAAGAGCGAAAAATAGCTGGCAAGCCATTTCACCGACGACCGAAGCCTTTTGCTTGCTACTTTACTAAAGTGGTAGCTACTAGCACACCCGCTTTTTCCCTCTTTTCCAGAAGAGGGGGAGAGAGAGATAGAAGGAGAGAAAATAAACGGATGAAACGTGAGGAGAAAAAGATGCAATTCTTAAAAATTATAGTCTTTACAAAAAAGTTTCGGATCAATATCAGTCTCTGGGCAATTGCCCACCTACCCCTCCCCTAACTCAACGACAGTCAATTGATAACAAGTTAGGGTTAATGTTGGGTTAGGGAAGGGGTAGGCGTGCAGTTGCCCAGATACTGATATTGATCCAAGGTTTCTTAAGCATGCTTGAAATAGTAGTAACACTCAACATAAGCCCCTACCCCCACCCTACTGGATCCCTGCTTGTGTCCCTTTACATCCAGAGACCTTCAACTTGAAACTGAAATGACCTTGAAGGCCAAGAATTCTTCTTTGACTTGCATGGTAGGTCATTTTGACTCAAGAAAGAAATCATGCAAGTTTATCAAGTTCTATAACACCAGCCATCACTCCACTTAGAAACTGCAGACTTGAGCCTAATTGGCAATAATGAAAGAATAATGAAGAAAATTATTTTAGCCGCAGAACAAGGCACAGACTAGAGTAGATGGGTGAAGGGAAGGGTAAATTATTCCCTACGTAGAAAGCAGAGAGATTTACGCACAAAACTGCTTTTTCCAACTGACTGTATCAAGAGTCAAACAAAATATCATTAAAGGACCGTCACAACATACTGAGTCAACTTTTGAAACATAAAACTTTGCTCAACTTAAGGGAGACTCCAAATCATTTGTTTGATAAGGAGGAAAAGTAAAGAAAAGGCATTAGTTAACCACGAAGGAACAAGCAAGGCTAAGGATGGGGAGGATTCACACTGATTTCAAAATGACAAACTTCATCAAGTGACTGAAATGCTTCTTTGACACAACGTAAGATTATCAACTCACCTACTTTTCAATTGGGCCAATACATTTTGTGGGGCTTCGAGGCACCTCATTCTTAAACCAGGACTAAATATGGTTGAAAAAGATCCAAGCGGCACTACAGATCAATTTCCCTCTGAGCCCACAGAACTGAAACCAAAAACTCTTAAATGGTAATTCAACAAATTTATTTTATTTTAATATGACTTTGCATATCAGACAAAAGCTGCAAATGTTTAAAGATGACTGCCATGGTTCATAATTCAGTGTACATACTATCACAGCTTTAGCTTACACATTTTCTAAAATAGAGTCTAGGCAATCCAAGAGAAGCAAAGTCTTTGGAAAGGATCATTTCTTCCCCTAAACTCTAATTTTGGAAGGGAGGGCACTGGAGAAAGGTTTCTGTTGCAATTCTTTCAAGATGTCCTCGGAATTTTCAGAACATGTCGAACTTCATAAATTTGTTGTTCCCTCAGATGTGATGAGATTCACAAAAACGAAAATGTTACACCTCTGAATCAAAAAAAGTTGGTTGTTATGGAAACCACTGGCTCGAACGTACTAACCTCCGATCATATGCAATCAGTCTTACTGGTGCTGGTTTAAATGGAGGATTGCCGGCTGAAACAGAACTTAGTTCCAGTTGCCGATAGGTAGCCTTGTTTCAGCGTGATCTACAGTGATATAGCTAGCCAACCCAGCAACATTCAGTTACAGTGAGAATTTAAACTGAAGGTGATCCAAATTACAAAAATAAGTAAATAAAAATAGAATTACATCGAAATTGGAATTTGAGTATAGGCTTCTCTAAAGGAAGGAAACCTGGAGAATCCAAAAACAAAACCACAAAATAATACCTTTTAGTGAGATGTCTCCGCTAGGGATACAGTTCACAAAATTTTTCACTCGTGGGACACGCATGGCACAAACCTAACAGAGCTCAAGGAAACTTTAAACAAATTCCAGTG